GAGAGAGGTATTGCCAGCGCTAGACCAACTTGAAGCAGCCTTGCTTACTCTATTAGTCCAAATCGTTCTGGTGATGGATAAAATAGAGTGTGGCAAGGCGAAACCTCCCCGGGGGGTTCACCAAAAAAAGATCATCCCTATCAGAACGAACTGGAACACTGATCGTCTCACTAGCGATAGCCGCAGGTCTACCTTTCAAGACGCAACCACACTGGGGGATGTATCACCAACCCCTTAGCTTCGGCGCTAGAAACATAACAGAAGGATTCTTCGTGGCCGCTTTCACCGCTTTACCCGCTCACACACTTACCGCTTCTGGTCTGATATGCAGCAGCATACTCAAATCTCGGACTAAGCTAAATACGTTCCCCGTTCGGTATTCCAGAGTAGGTATGTGTTCGTGGCGTATTGCTGAGAGGGAGGAATATAATGAATACTCTATATGAGGCTTATTATGGTGAAACCGGGCAAACGGGTATGCTGCTATGTAAAGATGTTGATTTCCAACGTCGCTCAAAGACAATGAATCGGCCGAGTGGCCGCTAACTTTATTCGATCCAAGCCGCGGGATGTGTGGTATTGGAATCAGGCGATCATTTCTGGTTATCAAATATATACTACTTTGTTCCTGCTAGTAGTCCTCTTGTGGCAACCCATACGGACAACACATTCAATCTAGATGTACTACGGAGTATAAGGGTAGGAAGCTGTGTTGTTCCCCAGCCTCCCATTTATGGGACACTCGCCCCTCTTCTCCGGAATATCTACGAGAAGGTAGCAGCAGTAAGCTACTATGTACGGAGTACTTCAGCTCATCCTCCACGGTGTATTATCATACGGAGTATACACCGAATTCGATGCAATACGGTAATTTCAAAATCCGATACCGCCTCAGGTGATGTATACCTCCCTGCCACTTGCATGATCCAACCCACTGTCCTGCTTTTTACTGCAATCATATAAAAATCAATATCAACCCAACGTTGAGTTCCCTGTGGGTCATTACACGCCCAAGTTCACCGATTCTGAACTGCCACATGTGCTATTCTACCGATTGCAAAAGGTGCGAAGAACGGAAGAATATCTGATAGGTGGATCTTAGCGACTGTTTCCATCCAGCTGAGGATCTTCAACAGGACGGTGTTGCGCACATGGTAGACTCAAATAGGGGCACTAGTACCAGCTGACCAGGACTATAGGGACAGAGTCGACCTTATACATCAACTTATTTCGGTAGTTCAAGAAAGTCCTGTTCATTCGGCATCAGTCGACAAGAGACGTGTCCATAGGTATGTCTTGTGATCTATTGCCAAGCTGCAATTGAGTTGGTACCAATGCATCCATTGGCTTCGACTCCCCTGATCGGCTAGTAGTCTAACTTACTAGTAGAAAGGAGAAAGGGAATACCAAATTCAAGTCACTACGGACGCGACATCCACAGACTTTTAACTACCATTTTTGTATGTTTGTGCAGCCACTCAGGTTCGCTCGCCTACCGCCATTCTTCCGTACCTACATTAGCAAACAAGAAATAAGTCACAGGAAACACCGAAGGTGGATTGGGTGGAGAAGCACGCCGGGGCCAGTGGCTGGATCTAAATCCCGAGACGAGGATACACATTCTTGGCGGCCGCCCATCTGCTCGTTGAGTTCTTCTAGAAAAGCGAGAAAATGGGTAAAGGCACAGAAGGTTCAACTTCGGTGGGCCCCCTTCACCCATTCCCCTGTAATTACCAATCATGCGTAAGGTACACAGGCCGATGGAGGTATGGCTTCAGTATTTCGGTAATGTAAGGAACAAATCTACCCGCGCATGCCGCCGCTGTACCGGAAACAGCCAGACATTTTAAGTTGGGGTTCGACATCACCACTTCCAATAAAAGCAATAGTAGAATCTCAAATCTACCCCAGTGCGGCGCGCACCAGCCATCGACCTCATGTAGACCGCCTTCCGTGCGCCACTAGCTCGTGCGCCACCCCTAACTGCAAACAATGCAAACCCTCATTCATACTCCGCGGTGGGATGTGAGAGCCGAAATTTTTGTCGGCATTAATCGAAGAAGAAGGCTTGTTTGCGCCAAGCATTGAACCTAGCTGCATCTATATTGGAATTTAAGATTCCAATTTCTACGTATCGGCCATTTGTTCGTCGCTTTGGGCAAGAGAGGTGGTCATTCCATCGTTACAGCTGTTTTGATAATGGCGCCCGAAACCGCTCAATCGCAAACGCCGGAGGCCCCCATGCACGGTCAAAGCGACGCACCAGTGACACATACATTAGCGATTGACAATATTGAGGAACCTCCCTCAAAGAAAGCAAAGTTGGATGATGCCTCAACGCCGGACAACAACGCTAACAATGGTGCCCCTCAGCGCGCGAGGGGTATCGCCCCCGTTAAGGCAGAGTATGTGGGCGCAGGAGCAACTATTTGCGGTGGATCTTATTGACTAACTATATGCTAGATTCATTATCCCAAGGGCTACGAACACCGAACCGCAACCTAACACGGACGACGCTGCCGAGGCCGCACGTCATGATGGGGGCCAAGGGCAAGAGACAGGGAAGAAGAAGAAGAAGAAGAAGCCTACTGGGCAAAACACAAACCGCACTTTTGGGTCGTCTCAGGACGAAAAGGGCCTGTGTCCGAGCAGGATCTTTACACCTGAGTTCTCTCCCGGAGTTTGCCAATGGGGCGAAAAGTGTCGTTATGAGCACGATCTACGAACCTATCTGAAGGAATACAAACGTGGTGATCTGACAACCTTTGGTGGCATGTGTCCAGTTTGGGAAGCAAAAGGCAAGTGCCTCTCTGGCTGGAAATGTCGTCTCGTGGGCTCTCACATGATTGAACGTGAGACCGCCGATGGCAGAAAAGAATTGGTGCTGGTTGAGGATGAGGAGCGCAGGAAGAAAGCACAGCCACTTGTTCCTTTTGCAGTCGAGGATGGCACTGCAAATATTGCCTCAGCGGAAGCTAAGTTTGCGCTACACCGCAAGAAGGTCCAGACGCCTCGAGCTGATTCATACGGGAAATGGTTGGACAAAACCTCTAGAGAACTGGAGAAGGTAATTCACAACCGGAATGTTATTGAAGAGAAGGGCGCGGAGTCCAAGACCGAGGAGGCCAAAAGCGAGAAAGAAGAGAACCGGGCGCAATATCTAGAGCCACCATTCTTACCGTCGGAAAAGCGACGTATTTACTTCGGCCCGGAGACTCCTGTTTTGGCACCCCTCACTACACAAGGAAACCTTCCCTTCCGCAGACTATGTATAGAACTTGGCGCACAGTTTACCTATTCGGAGATGGCCCTGAGTATGCCATTAATCCAGGGTAACAAAGGAGAGTGGGCATTGATGAGAGCACACGAGACGGAAATGCTACCTCCAACTATATCTCCAGGGGTTGATATAGTGCAGGGATATGATCACTCAAAAGATCTTAGATTCGGCGCCCAAATTGCGGCAAACAAACATTGGCAAGCACTTAAGGCTACCGAGGTACTATCCGCATACACCCCAAACCTTCGTGTTATCGATCTGAACTGCGGCTGCCCTATTGACTTGCTCTACCGTGAAGGAGCTGGGTCTGCCCTTCTCGAACACCCGTCAAAGCTCGAGAGGATCCTTCGCGGTATGAATGCGGTTTCACAGGAAATACCTATCACCGCCAAGATTCGCATGGGAACCAAAGATAATTCACCCAATGCGCTTAGGGTGGCAGAGCGTTTAATCCTCGGGGGTTACGAGTCCAGTACCCTTGGGCTTGGTGCTCCTGGTGTAGCAGCCCTAACCCTGCATGGACGGAGCAGGCAGCAGCGGTACACCAGACAAGCAGATTGGGAATATATCTCTGAATGTGCTGCTCTTATCAAGAGACTGAATGAAAAAACGGATCAAGTCATAGATACCGTACGAGAGCCGGACCCACGGACACAGCCAAATGGAGGTAAGACATGGTTCCTGGGGAATGGAGACTGTTACTCGCACCAGGATTACGATGACCACGTCAACAATGCTGGTGTTGACACTGTGATGGTTGGTCGAGGTGCTCTGATCAAGCCTTGGTTATTTGAGGAGATCCAGGCAGGCCAGTACCTCGATAAGTCTGCGTCCGAGCGTTTATCGCTGGTTGAGAAGTTTGCCAAGTATGGTTTAGAGACATGGGGATCGGACGAGCATGGAGTTGGCACTACACGGCGCTTCCTACTCGAGTGGTTGAGCTTCGCCTGCCGCTACATTCCTATTGGGTTGCTTGAATATCTTCCACCACGTATTCAGGACCGACCACCGTCTTGGAGAGGCAGAAATGAGTTGGAGACTCTTATGGGCAGTCACAACTATAAAGACTGGATCAAGATCACGTAAGCTTCTTCTTTTTCTCCCTCCTTTCTTGAGACGCCTTGTGCTTCACACGGATATTAACCTGCTGTGTAGTGAAATGTTCCTCGGTCCAGCCCATAAGGACTTCAAGTTCGAGCCGAAACACAAGTCCAACGCTTGGGATGGGGAAGCGGAGGGATGAGCTTGTGATGATACCGTGTAAATACACATTTAGAAGTAACATATCTAGACTAAAAGCACCTACTGAATGAAACAGCCATATTGTATAGAAAGCACCACTGGCACGTGATTGCACATTCCGGAGCCAACTCCGAACTAGGCAGAAACGTGTCACGTGTCAATCATTTCAGCTCCGGGCGGTGATGACGTCTTCCCTGCCGAAGCTGAAAAAGGACCACCTCATCTTCATCGCCCTGGATACAAAAAAGCCTCTGATCTCATTCCCCCGCCCAGGAAAATTACTCGTCTCCTAATTCCAAGGCTCTGCATTATATATTCAGAGCTTGTTGCAGTCATCCCTTGAGTGCTTGGTACTGTCCTTGGCAATTCTTATCTTTTGTTTACCTCTTCGAGCTTCCCCCACAACCATACGTTGATTGCAGCCCCTGAAGCTATTTCCATCGTCAATTGTCGAATTAGGGTATTAGTTCCAGGCAAAATGACTCTCTACTACAGTCTTGTAAGTTTATTCTGCGGACTGGCACCGAGTCCATCATGTCAACTTGCAGAATAAGGTGTAGCCTACAGTTCCGGCCGTGCCGAGGATACATCTCGAATTGCTTTGATTACACAGCTTCAAGCAGTACTAACTTCGTCTGCGTAGGTTTTTTGCCTTCTCGTCTTCGAGATGGTGATCTTTATTGGACTCATCGTCCCTCTGCCTTTCACTATCAAGCGGAAGCTGTTCACCTTCATCTCTGAAAGTCCGATAGTAGCGAAATTGCAATATGGAATGAAGGTAAGCTCCTAGATGCCTACGATGGGGATACACTTCTTGTTGACGAATTCTTCAGATTACATTCATATTCATTTTGATTCTCTTCATTGACAGCGTGAACCGAGTGTACCGTGTCCAGCTGGAGGTTACCAATTTCTCAAAAGAGAACATGGGGTAAGTAACTTGTCTTACTTCAACATATGTGTAGTGGACTAGGCATATCTGACAATATCTCTTTTTAACAGAGCGGCTGCCCTCGGCACTGACCGCATGGAAGTCCAGGCTCGGAAGTTCTACTCTCAACGTAACATGTACCTTTGCGGCTTCACCCTCTTCTTGTCTCTCATCCTCAACCGCACTTACACCATGATCCTAGAGGTCCTCCGCCTTGAAGACAAGGTCAAGACTCTTGAGGGTGACAAGAAGGCTGGTGGAAAGGACTCGGCCCGCCTTGCCGAGCTGGAAACGCCGGCGAGATCGGACGCCTGAAGAAGGAGCTCGATGCCAAGAACCGTGATATTGAGACCCTGAAGAAGCAATGTGAGGGTCTTACCCGCGAATACCACAGCCTGGGTGACAAGGTTGCCGGTAAGAGCGACGATGACGCCAAGAAGGATCTGTAAATCCAATTGTCAGGTCCAAACTGCAAGAGAATTCTGTGTAGTCTCAAGCGAACGTATTTCATGAGATACGAAAGGATCTTGGAGCAGCTCTTATGGTATCGCGGAAATTAAGCGTCCTACTCACTACTCGCTTTCAAATATGATGATACAAGTGAAAGGCTGCGCAGCAAAGCAAGAACTCAATAATCTTGCGTGATGGCTTTGTGGTTCTCTGCTTTCACAAATGTGGTGGTGGTTTGTTGTGGAGATATCCTGACACGTGGCGACGAGGAAGGTCTACACGCCTTGTGATATTTTATTCCCTAGTGGTTGACATATCAAACCAAAAACAATCAAGATATTCTCCAAAAAGTACACAGTACACCAGTGCAGGTGACTATAAACCTCCGCCTTCAATCTGTCCAGCAAGTCCTGAAGTCTTGTAATACTCGGCATAGTCAGGGCTCTTAATTGCGAGACTAACTACTCTAAATGTATATTCTGTCGACATGCAACTAAGATATAGAAACGTTTTATCCTACTCTCACAGATCGTGTTGACACCTATAAGCCACTCTGGATATTTAAAATTTGAAGACCACATCGGATCAAGCCGGGACATTGGGCTCAACGATAAAAAGGGGGTCCGCAGGAAACATTTCATTGCAACTGATTCATGGTGAGACGTTAGATTTAACCTGTGGCGCTGTGGCTGACGGATCGGAACGCATCCGAAATGGGGATCTAGAAGCTATAACATGTATCGCCATGTTTTTGGCCTCCCCATTTGACTAGTCCGCTCAAGTATTAGGAAGGTGGCGCATGGCAAAAGGGGGAAATTCGATAGTAGCTCAAGCGGTGGTTGCCTAACCAAGCCCTAAAAATGGAAACATACATTGTCAAACTTGACAAGCGCTAGACTGGTATTTTTGGAGGGGGTCTTTTTTTCTTGACAGTGACTTCGATAGCACCTATCAAACCAAGAACATATTCCATAGATAGAGTATCATGCATCTAGACCATAAGCTCCCTTGGAACACAATCTCTTCCCACTTCGGCTTCATCAAAGAGAACCAATACAAGAACTGCAAGAACGACTTTATCATCCACGACCGCTTCATCGATCGCCAGTCCGCTGAGTTAAACCACTTTATGAAAACCCTTATCTCCGTGATCGAGGAGTTTGCAACTACTGAGCGAGCTAAGTACCCACCGGCTACCACTCTGCCAACGTCCGGACCTCTTTTCGACGCGGCTATCCTACCGGCCATCGAACAGAAATACCACCTCGAACCACACAGAACCAACTCCGCAGTCTCCAATCCCCTTTGTGAAGAATTCCAGAATGTCGACCATTGGATCAGCCAGGCGCCATATAGCACCGCTGATGGGGACCTAGCCGATGCCGTGAAAATGCTCCTTATATCGAACGAGATGCTCGCTTTACTACGTCTAGCAAACCACAAGCAGATCCCGCTCGCGACCCTTGATTCTCTAAGCTGGGGCCACAGCTTCGGTGTCAACCATCTCCCGGACGTAGCTCTGCAAGCCTACCTACTGCTGAACATCGCCGCTGCTGTGAAAGCCAACGCCAAACGCGGGTCTGCAGACGATACTGTCCGTCTGACGGAGACGCAGCGGTTCAGGTACTTCGCCAACTGGGCTCTGGCAGATCATGACTATCCTGCACAGAATATCCCACATCGTCTGTTTTGGAATGCGAAGGGTATTACTGATGGTCATGGCTCATCGTGGGATCCGTTGAGCTTGGAGATGGATGTGGAAAGGGCAGAGATGAAGGCGTATTTGAAGGTGTGTTTTGAGTTGTTGTATCGCTATGACCTTTTGATGAGGGAGCTGGGTAGAGATCCAGGGTGGAGGGAGAGGATCCTGGGCATTCTGCGTCTGTGGGGAGCCCGGTCTGTTACTATGGATGAATCGGGGTTCTGCTTTGCCTAACTGGGCTCGGTTGCTTCTGCGCATGATGGATCTATGATCTAGAACACGGGTGGGCAGGGAGAAGATATGCGATCTAGACACTACATAGTATCATCCATAGCTGGGGTAGTGGGATTCTGTTCCTCTCATACTTAACGCTTTGGAGGAAGTTATGGTCTTGAGGCCTCTACAAGTGAGTACCGTAAGTCAGGTGCGCTGTACACCCTACTCGAGAGATGTCATCTCGAATAGATAATTTGGGGGTCCAAATGAGCAGCCAAGACTGCCAAGATAGCACACTAGTTCGATGCTGCATGACGTGGCCAATTGAGTATATGCCATAGGTCAGTTGGCAGTGTTTACTGCCATAGTTGACCTAGAGCGGAGAATACAGAACCCTCTTGATAACCGTAAACCTCCACGCATGCATTCTTTAGCTTCTAACACCGTTGAGAACGGTTTATAGTAGGTTTGTGGCGCAGGTTGACACTAGCAGAGGCTGAGTACCTGCGGTTATATGGGGATTAGGGAGGGATACGATGGAAATAGTAGTAGACTAAACCCTAGTCATAGATTGACAAGCAGCTGTAATGAAAGGAGTGGAGAAGCTATGGGGACTTTCAGGAGTACTACCTAGTACGTCCCATGGGCATTTCTTGACGTGTACATTGTACTTTGGCAAGATTGAGCAATAAGGAGGCGGCGGGTTTGCCACCAACTTCGAAGGGTATGCTCGATATTTGTATGTCTATTCGTGGTAGAATATCTGTTTTTCAAACATGATGGAGCAGAATCGGGATTTGTATAAAAGAGAGGCATCGAGTATTCGTTTCCTAGACTTAAGTGGTCTTGACAGAGCAAATGGGTAACAAAACCCAGATGTTTTGTATAGAATTTAAGTGAAAAAATTCCCTCCCCAAATGCAAAACCAACAGTAGGGCGCTGATGTTGTAGATCTCACTATGGAGTACGAACACAATCGCCCCTTATTTCAGCGCATACTTCCGTAATGCAAGTGTACTTACTGCACTCCAGATATAGTAGGTCACATCAGCATTTCTCCCGACGTGAAGGCCATACATATGTTCATCAAATTATAAAGTAACCGTCTTATCATATCGACAAACGACAGTTTTCGGTTTGCCTTATTTAAACTTCGTCTGGAAGATTTGTACATCGCCACTACTGGTAATTAATTTGGTGCTAAGTCGAAGTCAGTCTTCGGTGGTCCAGTGACGACGTCACCTTCGGCATCACCGCTTTTGTAGATCTCCGGATCAAATCTTACAGTAATTTGCATACCAAATCAATATTTGACCAGTTTACTCTGTAGTTGATATGGACAATCGGATAGAGCATGGAATAAAGGAATTATTTGTTGTTGTTAATTTCCGAGACTCTTCGCCCCCTCCCCCTTCTTCGCTCCGCTTTGATCTTAATTCCAGGACAGGATTTAATCTATTGGGAGTTTTATGTTTTATTTTATTTTATTTTATTATTTTTTTTGGAGACTGTGCCGGCATTCGAGGTTGACCGACCGCCTTTGCGTATTTGTTTTTCGCCCCTCCTTTTTCTCTTTTTTTCCCCACTGGCAGTTTCTTTTCCCACTTGCAGGCTGAGAACTGGAAGTGTTGTATCGGTGACACCGCCCACTCCCTCTAAACGGTTTCCCCGTTGACCGGCTCTTCTCGACGTATTTTTGTAATTAATTTTTCGGATTACATTAGTGATCCAGATAGATATCTGGTAAAAATTAGTAAAGAACGCAAGAGCTTCGAAGAAAAATACATAAAATATGAAAGCAGTAAAAGACCTGTAAAGCAACAGGAAATCAATAATATTGTACACTGCAGGAGTTCGCTGGAATCGTGCATCTTCCTCCCCACTCTCTCTTCTTCTTCTCCTCCTCCCCCCCCTTTAACAATTGATTCCTCCTCCCTTGACACTAAGCGCTTTCTGTCTTCCGACCACGAATACTTTACTTCTCTCATTCCGCACCGCAACTCCTCCTACCTTCTCCCCTTCACTCCCTCTCACACAGATACACAACTCACCATGGCCGCCCCTAGTTCGAAGTACGATAACTATGACTTTCCCACCACTGCGCCGGTTGCCAACTCTGGCCACCCTGGCCATACCACCCCAGAGCAGGATGCAAAGGTAGAACAGCTTCGGAGTGAGCTAGAGCAGCTCGGCTACACTGAACGGCTGGATACTTTGACTTTGCTCCGCTTTTTGAGGGCGAGAAAGTTCGACGTTGCCCTTGCTAAGACCATGTATGTCGGAGGCTTTCCCTACTATTTATTTCTTTGACTAGTGTCCGCGGACACGACGAAAGCCTCGCGGTGAGAACTGTACAATCAGTGATCTCATACTTCGGCTTGTTGCTTATCCTTGGTCGAACAATGCGAAATACAGCGCTAACATCTGCCCGTTCGCATTAGGTTCGTCGACTGCGAAAAGTGGCGGAAAGATTTCGGCACGGACGACCTGCCTCGCACTTTCGACTACAAGGAGAAGCCGGAAGTGTTCAAGTTCTATCCTCAGTACTACCACAAGACGGATAAGGTACAACCACCGTGCATGTGTTCTTCCGAGCCAACTTCGATGCTAATCGTGAATATAATGGAAATAGGATGGAAGACCTGTCTACATCGAGAAACTGGGCAAGATCGATCTGACCGCCATGTACAAAATCACCACCGCCGAGCGCATGTTGCAGAACCTTGTCACTGAGTACGAGAAGCTTGCTGACCCCCGACTGCCCGCCTGCGCTCGGAAGGCAGGCAAGCTGCTGGAGACTTGCTGCACCATCATGGACTTGAAGGGCGTTGGTATCACAAGTATCCCATCCGTATATGGATATGTTCGTCAGGCCTCTGCCATCTCGCAGAACTACTACCCCGAGCGTTTGGGCAAGCTCTACTTGATCAACGCCCCTTGGGGTTTCAGCGGTGCTTTCAACGCTGTTAAGGGCTTCCTTGACCCGGTGACTGTTGAAAAGATTCACATCCTTGGATCTAACTACAAGAAGGAACTGTTGGAGCAAGTCCCTGCTGAGAACCTCCCTGTGGATATCGGTGGTACCTGCAAGTGCGAAGGCGGCTGTGAGCTGAGTGACCAGGGCCCCTGGCAAGATCCACAGTGGGCCAAGGCGCCCAAGTGGGCTACCCCCAAGGAGGACCAAAACGTCGTGAAGAATGAGGATCCTGGCCTCGAGCAGAAGGTTGAAACGCAAGAAGCTTCTCAGCCCATTGCATAGAAACCCGATCTCCTTTTTTCCTTTCTTCTTCCCGCCCTTTTTTGTCTTGGATCAATATGGGTAAAGCTGCAGTGCCGTGTTATTCCTATATATTCTTTCCTCAAGATGTCTCCCGGGAATAGTTTACATCAACTGTGCTTTTCTATCTCCCTATGACCGTCTTTGGTTCATCCGAATTCAACTGTTAGCTATCTTCTACCTGAGAAACGGCTGCCGGCTTTCCCATCTTGTCTTCGTTTTCACTTTGGCTTGACATTAGATATTAAACAACGCAACATGAGCGGCGTGAGGTGCTTTTATAGATGGAGCTGAGAAGAGTAAATATTGGGACAGAATATAAAAGTGATTGTCTGATTAGGGATTCGGGTTTTGAGTTCAATGTACGACTTGGTGCGTATTGATTACGAAAAGGGCCAGTTGTAACACGGTATGTTTGCTTGAACACACAACACAAGGCATTGCCTGAATAGTCGATATCGATCATTATTCCCAATAGCAGATTATCAATCACGATGGAGTATTTAATGGTATCATTCCATGCCGAGCGCCGAACACCAACAGACTTGAATCGCAAAGAAAAAATGACAGAATAGACCCATAGACGGTCACTTCTTTTCCACGACTTCAACTGCCCGACTGGCTCGTTCAGCCTTCCCAACTGTCGATGCTACTGCATTTCCATCGGCGGCCCCATCTGTTGTGGCGTTTAACTCATCGCCAGGAATAACCTCACCCTGAAGTCGAAGTAAAGTCCGTAATGTATCCTCATATACTTCTGCCATCTCCCCAGTACGCCACAGTTCCGCTTCATGGTCGGTGCCAAGGGGCACATGTAAATCCCACTTCGTTTTCGCTGACCTCCGGCGTGAGCCATTTGTACTGGGCCCATTGTTGGCATTCTGTTTCTGACCTTGGTCTGCATCAGGCATGTCGACGTCTTCTGCCGTTTGCCTTTCATTGTCTTCCCCACTTTCCAGAAACTCCTCGTCTTCTAGGTCATCATGTTCGTCCTCCTCTATCACCTTCTTCAACTCCGCTGCATACGTCTCCGCCGCACGCCGCGGTGCATCCCGCCTTAGCTGTGCGACTGTCGTCGTAAGCGATTCCAATTGTGCGTAGAGCGAAGTCACACGTGATGCAAGATGCCCGTCATATGGTTCGTACTCCACTGTCTCTGCAGGCGCAGTGAAAGCAGCCGGGAAAGGAAACTGAGGCGATGAAGAGTCAAGACCGTTGATACTTATTGAGGAGGAAGCCGATGTGAAGGTACGTAATATGTACTGTTTCGCATGTCCATCAGTATTAGGGGTTCTCAGTCGGTTTATCGTGGAGAGAGTAGGCTATGTACCTCGTCGACTAACTCGCGGACCCGCTCGCGCATTGGATCCGGCCCATCTTCAGGGTTTGCAGAGGGGGGTAAATGAAGGTCGAGTTTTTGGCGCGAAAGGGCGACAGTGTTACCGTAGAGGTATGTGAAATCGGCGGGGGCTTGGAGCTCGATTTTGCGATGCATTGATTCCCCCATTTTGTCAACTGGTCCAGCTGACCAATGCGTGAAAGATGTTGGGTGTTGTGGGATGCGTGGATCTATCTTCTCTCCGTTGGCTACTTCTCGTCCTCGGGGGGTTCGCAAGTATGAACGCGTCGGGCGCGGGTATTTACTATCCAAAGCAGTGGGACGGAGGAGAAAGGCCTGGATGCGGTTAGCCTCAGGCACCGATGAAAATGGTCGGCGTCGATCCGATGAGCAGTCGCCCCGCAAACGATGTCATCGATTTAGTTTTCTTTTCAGCTGCCTTCAGCTGAAAGCCTTGCTTTTCGTCCGATGCCAAGTTTCTTCACTTCTAGGTCGATATACGACCCGACTAGTTAGTGTAATAGTTTTTAGTCATATTCCTTACTTTCCTTGCCTTCTTCCCTTCTTATACTTATGTTTGCCTAATTCCTAATTCCTAATTCGCGTACTTGTCTCGCTTCCCTCCTTTATCTCTTATCGCATTATCTATTCCCCCTTTATAGCGCCCTGGCATCAGCCACTGACGGGCTCAGTTATCTGATATGCGATAATGGTCGGGGTGTAATACTACTAGAGTAGTAGTGCTATTGCAGGATTTGTGCTGCGCTTGTTATTGGTCAATCCTTAAACCATCATGGAGAGTCGCCCCAGCTTGAACCTGATTGACAACACATCCCCGAACCGTCAACTCTCTGACGATGAGGGCCTTTCGGACGTCACCACATCGGATGATCTGTCAAGAAACACGTCCAGGAGATGGAGAAAACCCTCAGTGCGGCGTGAGCTGACCAAGCGCAAATATAAAAAGTGGCAGCCACAGAGGTTGGGAATCACAGACGACGATGCAGACAGACGCCCTTCGGACGCCAGACTGTCACTAACAGCTACATATACAAATACTGAAGGCGAAAGCCTTATCGATACTTCGACTTTGCCAACTACCGAACAGCGTGATTTCGGGGCCGCAGAGCAAGAAACTGACGGCCCTGAATCAGTGACCAGCCATGGTGTCCGTGGCCTCAAACCTGGTACCGAGCTAGACATTCTTTACGAGAACCAGCGGGGCTGGTTCTTCTTTGGCATCCCTCTTTATTCTCATGGCTCTCTTCTCAACTTCGATCCAGCTGCCTGGGTCACCTACGACTTTCGAGATAGTCCGGTCAATATCACGAATGCGCAGGTGCCGGATCCGAGCTGGGAGTGGGCTTGGAAGACATGGTACGTGGACATGTCTGGCGATGTGGATGATCAAGGCTGGCAGTACTCTTTCTCCTTTAGCTCGTCGGCCTGGCATGGATCCCACCCTTGGTTTCATTCGTTTGTTCGCCGGAGGCGATGGGTCAGATTACGAATTAAGAAGGCCTCGGAAAGAAGCCGCCGCGGCCGGTCAGGCTTTGAGATGGCTCATATGCTCAACGAAGACTACTTTACTATTCATACCGCCAAGAAGAGGAGAGCAGCAAGTGCAGGGCGGGGATCCCAAGGGCCATCCACCCATTTGAGTCGAGTGACGACAAATGTGGACGAAGAAGGTCCTCTAGAAGAAATCGGAAATATCCCAACCCTCATGAATGCCCTGAAAAATGCAAAGATAGACCGTGAGAAGTTCGATATCCTCAGAAGGTTTGTGGCGGAGGGAGGTCAAGAGTTGTATTATTTAGATGGCAAGGTAAGCACACATTAACTCATACATCCTTTACGCTGTTGCTAAGTATGTCCAGATGCAAGATATAATGGCACTGTTTGTCTTCCAAGCCTCGCGCTGGCAACTTGTGACCTACATGACTGGCATCATCGAGGAGTTGTCTGGGAAGGAGCCCGAGTCTAGTGGCATGGATGCGGAGGAAACCCGACGGCAAAAATACTATCTCTTAAATGCTGTAACCACAGCAAAGTGTTACCTCACTGGGCCAGAGATCCTCGCTTCTGAAGGACGGGTGCCTGCTCGGGAAATGTCAGAGATGTTGGATTTGACTCCGGAAGCGAGGAGGGAAAGTCTTTTGTCTAGGTCCTCGGGGAAATTCTCCCACAAACCAGTAGACAACGGTGGAGATATTAAAGGTATTCCTCAGGCGGCGGAGATTGGGCGTGAAGGGCATATTTATCGGTATTCGTCTTGATTTTTTGCAGTATACCCGGTTTGGCTGGTCCAGTGTACGGGCCAGGTGTACCTCCTTTTGGGCATCCCACTCCGTACGACCTACCTATATATCCATTGGCTTTTCTTATCAACAATGACTAGTTTTTATTTTTTTCATCTCTTGTATTCAAATAGTAAAAATTGCGGAGACTAGGTATACATCTTGTTTACGGCGAGTATCGGTCCGATTCCTGGAGAGCACTGACCGCCTGCCATTCCAACACGGCAAACATTTTCTAGAATCTCCGCGCCGGAGAGCTTTGCCCGCAGCTTGAAAAAACGACGCCTTTAGACAGGAGCAAATCCAAACTCGCCCGCGACTCTTCGCCCTTTCCATGACTCAGGCACTTGCTCCGTATACTCCTCGATGTTATCGCGTGGCCGCCCGTGTCTGAAAAGACGTGTATTATCCACCGTCTTAGACAGTGTTGCGGCTGGCCCCGACGAACCTCTCCTGTTCCTCTACCCCCGTTGGTTCACAGCTGCAGTCCGCCAACGGAGGTCAATCTCGTCAATTAAATGCACATCTAAATGCACAGCGAGACTATGTAACGCGGGCGGGTTCGTTCCGGGGACGCGCCGGAGGTTGTCACTCGGCGGTTCTACGAAACGGTGGGCATCTAGTAACAATGCAGCCAAAACCAATGTGATTGAGGAGGCTGGAAGCTCGCAGCAGAACGATCAATCGCCTGCTACACCAGAAGGTGGACAAGATGGGTGGACAGGAGGTGAAGTAAAACGCGACGGCGTGAGTCCACCGAAACACACTCCGAGTTCAAAGCCACCTTTGCCCGATTCGACAGAAAAGACCAAGTTGCTCGAAGAGAGACGAAAACGCTTGTTCAATATATTTGCAGATATCGACTCGAAACCTCCCCGTCCATCATCGCCACCGCCTCCTCCGAAAGCCGGTGCCCCGAGAGCCAGAGACCTGAAAACGCATGCGAGGCCATTGGCTGCCCCTCCCAAGATTCATTCTCATGAAAGAGCGCGTGCTACTATGAAATCATTATCTGTTAGGGATAGGCGGAAGTTAAGGTGTCGGTTATTTTTCACTAAGCGGATGAACCCCGAAGCGAAATGGAGGTGGACCCTTTGGACTAAGCTGGAGGAGTTGTTCGAGCGAATGGAGCAAAATAATACGGTGTGGAAGAAGAGAGGCATAAAACACAAGGAGATGCTATTGCCGGAGGAGACTGTTGCTCTCCTTGCGGGCGCTACGGACATGGCTATGAAGGAAAATGTCTGGTATGTACCTATGCACAACGGGTGTAAGGTCCATGTGCTACATCCACGGGAGAGCGAAGGTCAATACAGGAAGGTTGTATTGTCCGGTTCCGAACGAGTGGTGGAGCTGGTTGGGGATCGTATTGTGCATGCAAAGAACCTTCAAGAGATGGGTGATCCTTTGATCGATATCAGAAAGCCACCGATCCCAGTGTTTCCTTCAATGGAAACTATGGCGCGGAAAAATATCCCGGTTCCCATCATCCGGGGTGTATGGGATTTTTATAAATCCGCTAAGGATCCTGCGAATTTGGGAACGCTGCTCCCCCTTTCCCAGAATTTGTCGAGTGTAAGGGAGTTTGCGGAGCATGTGGATGAAGTCGCGCGGTCATTGCCCTCTTACAAGGCTGCTCCAGGGACCTCTCACCAAAAGCAAGTGGCCAAATCTCTCCTTGCATTGTTTCAAAACGAACGGTACCATGGCTTTTTGTCGACTGCTGCACTGAATACAGCACTGTCTTTCCTCCTTGACCATGAGTTTGTGAGGTACGCGCGCATGATCTTTCTGAGAGCCGAGCACGTCGTCACTGTCGACTCCTTCAATATCTTGTTGAAGTTCGCAGCTCAAAAGCAGGATATGCGGCTGTTTCGCCAATTTCTACTGACAATGCCGCGGTTGAATATCCGGCCGAACCCACATACCTGGCTTACTTTCCTTGACTGCCTTGTCTCACCCAAAGCAAAGGCGAATCTTGTATCGCGCATGATGCAGAAAGGCTATCTCAACGAATCTAGCGCCATGCGGACGGCGCTGCAGGCGACGATACAAAACACTTTTCATGCACATCTCAAAAGCGGGAAAAGCGTTGACTCCTTCTTTAATATGCTTATTGATACACAAGGCGCCAATTGGTTCCCTCCATCACTGATCAATCAAATGTTGAACGTTGCCGCCAGCCGGAAGGACTTTTCAGCTATGGAACGGTTACTCCAAATATGCAAACACCAAGGCTTTGCTGTCAAGGGTTCTACTGTCAACCAAATTGTCTTACTGTTTCGCAAGGATATCTTCTCCCTCCTCCGGTTCTTGTTTCAATACATCGACCGCCCTGAGCGTGTGCTCACAAAAGATGCCTGGGAGAAACTGTTCTTGGTGGCCTTCAAAGGGCGACACTACAACATCTGCCGTGTGCTATGGAGATACGCGTGCATGTACAGAGGCGTGACGTACAACATGCGACAGTCTGTGCTTACATCGCTGCTCCGCAATACATCATTTCGAAAGACTGGAGGTCAATACAATCAACTTTGGCTCACCAGCGCAGGGAAAGTCATCGTGGGGATTGATCTTCATCTTCCGAATTATCCTTTAGATGAGTCATTTTCGGAACTTGTGCCATCTGAGTTCAGTCGGAATCCAGTCGCTTCTCTTGCAACTGGATTCAAGCCTACTGGTGGAGAGCGTGAGAAGCAACAGCTCCTAGCTTCAAAACTGACATTACGTGATACGGAAGTCGGTCCAATGTACCGGCCTTCGAGGTCATTGAATATCATGTTGGAGGCCGCAGCCGTACTGGATCAGGAGTGGAAGTCAGTCCCTCGACCCACACAGTGGTTAATGCAAAATGCTATTAAAGTCTCGGTGAAAAGAAAGTCGGACTATCTGCGGTGAACGTGGCTGAACTGCCTCGACTGGAGTTGAACTGTGCACTGTATCTGTTGATCAGTGACTCACTACCCCTTACTGCATATAATATTGGTTGTATGGGCTACAGATGTCCGACAGCTATTCACATATCATGTATGAATTTCAACAGCGCTTTTACGTCTGACTTTTTCTGTACATTATACCTCTGTATACTAACCCCTCCCCTTTTCTATATAATGCCATGTATAGATACTATAGAAATAGACTTCGGCTGCCCAGCCCTACTGTTCATTGCAATAGATCGTTAATATGTATTCGTCACTCATATTCTCTATTGTCGTAATTGCGTAGTCTATAGGTTATTCACAAGAAGCGAACTGCCATCCCGTCTCATACATCATTGATTGCCATTTCCATGAAGCAAAGCTGGCGGCGGAGGGGCAATTGGACCAGACATATCAGGGGGCCCGTACGGATCAAATGCCGTCCGCATAGACCCCACGCCCTCCTTGAGATATAGCACTAAGCGATAGGCCGAGTTACCGTTCAAATAATACCGATGCAATCTTTTACTGCGTAGGAACCCCAGTCGTTCATACAACTTAATAGCCGCCGTATTTGTGATTTCGGTCTCGAGCGCGATCTGCAAGCACCGCCTATTAGTATATTCCCTTCCGAATGAAGCACCTGTGCAACCTTGTGGGATCCGGGCAACAAACCTCATCCGCATCACGCGCAATCATTGCATCGATCGCCATTCTGACCAATTTCGTTGCAATCCCGCGACCTCGGTGCTCTTCGCGCACTGCCAACATGGCAATATACCCCCGCAATGGCCCGCCGCGATGTGGTTCCAGCTTCGAGACTACGACCCCAACCATCGGGTCCGGCAGTGTGTCGTCCATGGCCATGAAACAGAGATCGCCCCATTGGTAGAGGAAATACCGGTAGACGTAGATACTGTACGGCTCGGAGAGGTCCTTGGAGATCAGTTGCCGCATGGCAGCGACATATTCATCTTCGCGTGCGCCGTCATAGCGGATGTAGCGGAGGTCTGGTGGTGCAGCGGAGACTGCGGTGGGAGTAGCGTCATGGCTCATTCCGGCCGCGTATTCGGACTCATTGAGAGAATCCAATCTTTCTATCTTGTTCTTGGAAGAGAGCGAGAGGTGTGGAAGGGTATCGTAATAGTTCTGAGTGAGTGTGGAGAATTGAGGGGGCTGAGGACGTAAGAGTAAAGGTTCAGGTACAAAGGGAGAAAAGCGGACTTCGTAATTTTGGGAACTAAATCTCATGACGTCCCATTTTGGATGCAACTTCAGAAAGCATGTGATTTCCGGTTCGCAACTTCTTCACGTTGTGTGCTTTTTTTCTTCTTCAACCTCCTTTTCTTTTATTCTTGACTTCACTTTCCTGGCTGTCTGTCTCGTTGGTATTTTTCTTAATTGATATATACCGACTCTTTCCATCGATCCGCGGCTGTCAATTCCACCCACTGTCCGCCGTGTTCCTGGCGATCGCCCACATGCTCCGCCGTCGCCTGGCCAAGGACGACAATGTCCAATCCTCTTCTGCAGACTCATCTCGCGATGAAAGCAAAGTAGTTCCCGCTACGCAGACTGCGACGTCCCCCGAGAAGCCGAAAAAAGAATCATTTGTGACGAAGCCGCGCAGTAAACGCCGCAATGGTCTTATCTTCGTGCTAGGCGGCATCTTCGGAATTCTCGTCGCCGCGTTTTTCGCCAACCAGCAGGATGTGATCAGCCTCGATGCGCTGATGGATCTGAACTTGGATGCATTGATAGATGTCATACCACAGGGCATTGTGAAAGATGTGAGGGAGTTCTCGGTATGTCAAACCCTCTCTCCTTCATGCAGCTGGTGATCTAATCTGATTATATTCTGTCGGGTAGCAACATGAGCGTGATGCTGTCGCCTATGATTCATTTTCCGTCGGTCTACAACTTCAGTCGCAAGGTATTCAAGCTAAGCATCCCATTGTCATGATTCCCGGCGTTATCTCCACTGGACTCGAGAGCTGGGGCACTGAGGTGTCGTCCCGCCAGTACTTCCGTCGGAGACTCTGGGGCAGTTGGAGCATGATGCGTGCTTTGGTCCTGGATAAGGCAGAGTGGAAAAACCATATCATGCTGGATAAGGATACCGGATTGGATCCGCCCGGGATCAAGCTACGAGCGGCGCAGGGTTTTGATGCGACTGATTTCTTCATCACCGGTTACTGGATCTGGAATAAGATCCTTGAGAACCTGGCGACCATCGGGTATGATCCGACGAATGCCTTTACTGCCGCTTATGATTGGAGACTGTCTTATCTGAACCTGGAGATTCGTGACCAGTACTTCAGTCGGTTAAAGTCCTACATCGAGACTGCCGTTCTCGTGAAAGGAGAAAAAGTGGCTCTAGCTTCGCACAGTATGGGCTCTCAGGTGCTCTTCTATTTCTTTAAGTGGGTTGAACATCCGGAACACGGCAATGGAGGCAGTGACTGGGTTAACAGACACATTGCATCTTGGATCAACATCAGTGGGTGCATGCTGGGCGCCGTCAAGGGTCTGACGGCCGTCCTCTCGGGCGAAATGAGGGATACTGCCCAACTGAATGCCTTCGCCGTGTACGGATTGGAGAAATTCCTGTCCAAGGAAGAACGAGCTGAGATCTTCAGGGCCATGCCCGGCATCTCGAGCATGCTTCCCAAGGGCGGAGAAGCTGTATGGGGCAATGCAACGTGGGCTCCGGACGACCAGCCCGGCCAGCACACGAGCTACGGAAATCTGCTGAAGTTCCAGCAGAGCAACTCGTCCCTGACAGCCAAGAACCTCACAGTCTCCGAAAGTCTGGCGTATCTCATGAACACGAGCGATGAATGGTACCGCAATCAAGTCCAGACCAGCTACTCGCACGGCGTCGCGCACACCACTGCGGAAGTCGAAGCAAACGAAAACGACCCTCGCACTTGGCTCAACCCCCTCGAGGCTCGTTTGCCATTGGCTCCGGACATGAAGATCTACTGCTTCTACGGCGTCGGCAAACCAACCGAACGCAGCTACTACTACCAGGAGGAACGTGATCCCCTGGTCAACCTCAACGCCAGCATCGACACGACTGTCACCAACAACGACGGAGTCGACCACGGCGTTGTCATGGGCGAAGGCGACGGCACCGTCAACCTCCTCAGCACAGGTTACATGTGCGCCAAGGGGTGGAATATCAAACGGTACAACCCAGCCGGAGTCAAAATCAAGGTCTTTGAAATGCCTCACGAACCAGATAGGTTCTCACCACGTGGTGGTCCAAACACAGGTACATGCGTCTCCATTTCCACCCCCTTCTATATCATCTTACATCTTATCCAACCAACACACACAACAAACCTCCGTTCCCAGATTTGTAAGCTCTAACTAACAATCCAAAAAGGCGATCACGTTGACATCCTCGGCCGAGCCTCCCTCAACGAACTCATCCTCCGCGTCGCAGGCGGCCACGGCGACGAAATCGAAGAAACCTTCGTCTCGAGAATAAAAGAGTACGCAGACCGGGTGCAGATCTTCGAAGAGGAATAGATAACTAGATTTAATACCCCCTATGTTTCCCCCACGTTTCTTATGAATTATTTTCAGCATATATTTATTATACAAGAGATACAAGAGATAATCCTGTTATGTATTATGTATGGTTGGTGAACGGATGATGTATATGTCCTCTATGTGTATTGGTGGGTTTAGAGAAGGGGACTTCGTATAGATAATGAAGGTAATTTAGTGATGTGCAAGAATATAAATTCCTTAGCGGCACATTCCCTGGGTTTCCCTTCAAAGCTATTAAACAGAAAAGCGTCCTTTTTTTGCTTCACGCCCCCAGACTTCTTCCCAAAACTTTCCTGGCAGATATGTGCGCGTATCAAGTTTGAATACGAATACAGGCCTCTTAAAGCTTCCGCGGCGAACAAGAAAAGCACACGCTACAGTTGTGCAAGCTTCAATAAATGAACAACATTTATCAAGCGAGGCAGGAGCCATGTCTATCTGGACAACTGGGTATTCCTAGTACCGCCCAGTCTTTTAAGATGGGTCTATATTCGCCTCCAGCTCACAGTTCGGGCTCCTGTCTGGAGGCAAGTATTAGTATCACTGCACCTCATTGGCTGCCCCAATAGAACAGCATCCTGCCGGCTTAATATACAGCCCCTCATAAGGGCGACTACAGCATCCCGTGATTAGAGCAGTCGCAAGGCTGTGGCCAGGGTTAGCCTTGTGTTTTCCGAGACCTCACCATCACCCACCTTCCGGCTTCCCAGGTAGATATCCTCAGTACATCTCTGGTCTATGATATGTCAAAATCTATGTGAACTTTAGCGTCAATACTGTTGGATATCATCCTTATTCAACCCTGAAATGCGTCCCAAAAGTCGTCAAGATTTTACCGTCGCGATTATCTGCGCTCTTTCTCTCGAGGCTGACGCCGTCGAAGCCCTTTTCGATGAAACCTACGATCGGCTCGGGAAATACTATGGCAAACAACAAGGCGACGCGAATGCGTACATTAATGGAAGGATTGGCAATCACGATGTGGTCTTGTGCTACACGTCAGGAATAGGAAAAGGAAGCGCAGCAAGTGTTGCCTCAAGCTTACAAGTCAGCTACACAGGTATTGAGCTTGCTTTAGTTGTTGGTATTTGTGGGGGTACCTCATCGCAATCCGACCATCAAGAGATATTCCTAGGCGATGCTATCATCAGTGATTCTGTGATCGTATATGACTTTGGCAGGCAATACCCTGGTGGCTTCCAACGGAAGTCTGGAGTCAAGGACACACTCGGCAGACCGAATCGAGAAATTCGGACTCTTCTGAATGGCCTGAGGACCAATAATGCCCTTAGTGAACTCCAAAGCCAGATGCAAGGTTATCTGGAGACTCTTCAGCAAAAAGGAACTAGGTGGCGCCATCCACAAATCGACGATATTCTTTTCAAGGCTTCTTATCTTCACAAACATTATGCGCGTGCGTCTGATATTCAATGCGGCTGTTCTGAGAGTGACATACCTGAGGAGATCTGTGAAAGCGCACTGGAAGAATCCTGCAATGATCTTGGTTGTGACAAAGGTCAAATAATACGGTGTCGAGAATTTGGGGAAGCTACGAAAGCCTCTATACATATCGGAATACTCGCTTCAGCCGACATAGTGATGAAATCCGGACAGCACCGCGATGCAATTGTCAGAAAGGAGAAGATTATAGGTTTTGAAATGGAAGGGGCAGGTGTGTGGGACAATATATCGTGTATCATCATTAAAGGGGTGTGTGACTATGCGGACAGCCATAAGAATAAATTATGGCAAGATTATGCTGCAGCGACTGGAGCGTCCGCGGCAAAAGCTTTCTTAGAGTTCTGGCCTCGGAATCAAGAAGGTCAGTATGCCAGCAATCTAGTATCAGCAAGCTTGGCTTACGCTAACTATTTTATTGTCTATACCATAGACACACGCAAGACAGCTCACTTCATGATCCCGTTTGCGAGAAATCCACGGTTTGTCGGCCGGCAGGACGAAATTGACAGGTTAGAAGAATTAATCTCGACACCCGGCAGGCTAAAGAAAATTGCCATTACTGGACTGGGAGGGGTTGGTAAGACCCAGGTAGCTCTCGAACTAGCTTACCGTATGCAAGCCAGAGAGGATGAATGTTCAATCTTTTGGATCCCTTGTACCAGCTATGAGGCTGTTGAGCAGGCCTGCATGGCCATTGCACAAATGGTCGGGATCCAATCTGTGAAGCCAGCAGAGGTGAAGGAGCATCTCAAGACTTACTTTAGCCAAAGGGACGGGAAGTGGCTTCTGATCTTCGACAATGCAGATGACATGGAGATGTGGATGAAAGGCAGCAAGACATCCTCCGCATTAAAGGACTTCCTTCCTTATGGTAGCCACGGCCATATTGTTTTTACTACTCGCAATCAGAAGTTAGCAGTGAGGCTGGCATCATCTGATGTGATACATGTTCGCGAACTCGACGAAGAAACTGGAGTGGAGTTTCTGGGGAAGTTACTGATGCAAAAAAGCCTACTCCACGACAGCAGTTATGCGGTGAACACCCTTCTCCAGCAGCTTACATTCCTTCCATTAGCTCTTACCCAAGCTGCAGCATATATCAACGAAAACGGTATAAACTTGTCTGATTACTTGCTACTCCTCCAAGAACAGGAGGCAGAAGTTGTAGAGCTACTGAATGAAGATTTTGATGATGATGGACGCTACAAAGAAAGCCAGAACCCAGTGGCCAAGACATGGCTGATCTCATTTCATCAGATTCGGAAGCTTGACGAACTTGCTTCTGGATATCTGTCGCTTATGGCTTGTGTTCATCCGCGTAATATCCCGGAGTCCTTCCTTCCATGGCCGGGATCAAGAAAGAAAATGACTGAAGCTCTTGGGCTTCTAAAGGCTTACTCTTTCATTACTATCCAGCCTGGGAACGGCTCTATAACGTTACATCGCCTGGTACATCTGGCAACCCGAAACTGGATGCGAAAGGAGGAACAGTTCTCACGCTATATAAGACAAGCAGCAGCCCGATTGAATGAGATCTTCACTAGCAATAACTATACCAACCGACAGCTTCGGCGAGAATACCTGCCCCATGCCCTCGTCCTATTGGGCGAAAGTCAGTTCAAAAAGCAACAAGACACATATGTTAGCTTAATACAGCTAGTGGGGATCTTCTTAGCGAGTGATGGGAGATACAATGAAGCGGAAAATCTGTTGTCGCAGGTGATGGGGACCCAGAAACAGGTACTAGGACCGGAGCATCCTGCCACTTTGGCCAGTATAGTTAACCTTGCATCAATATACCTGATGCAAGGACGATGGAAGGAAGCAGAAGAGCTTTTGTTACAGACTATAAAGACCCAGAAACGGGTACTAGGACCAGAGCATCCTGACACTTTGACCGGTATGACTAACCTTGCATCAATATGCTTGGGCCAGGGACGATTGAAAGAAGCAGAAGAGCTGCAAATGCATATTATAACAAACCAGAAACAGATATTAGGACCAGAGCATCCTACCACTTTGGCCAGCATGGATAACCTTGCATCAATATACTCGAAGCAGGGACGATGGAATGAAGCAGAAGAGCTGCAGACGGAGATTATAACAACCCAGAAACAGATACTAGGACCAGAGCATCCTGGCACTCTGGAAGCCATACACAGTCTTGCATTTACTTGGAAATCCCTTGGAAATATTCAGCCTGCCTTAGCTCTGATGGACAAATGTGTAGAGCTCCGCAACAAAGTCTTAGGCTCGGATCATCCAGACTCCATATCTTCCTACAACGCATTGAAGAACTGGGAAGCAGAAGTGAACTCCTCATCAGCAAAACAAGCACAACAAAATCCGCCTGTAATACCAATGCATACTCAGTCTTCTCACTCATTCGATTTAGATCCAGAGACTGTCAAGGGGGCCAGATGGCAGGCTCTCAAGAACTTTTTCAGGAGACCATGGTTCCATTCTTACACTTCTTGAATAAAGCAATAATTTGTAATTCACAAGTTGTCCAGACCTTCTGCCTTCAATACAAAGTGCCTCCTCAGTCCTTGAATAGGATATATGCTGAACAGTCTGTGACTGCAATGCAGTGCAATCGCCAGCTCCGTATACCTGGGATAAAGTATAACAGGCATACAGACACTCTATAGTATATAACCAAAGTGAAGTCACAGGAGAGGAAATTGTGAATGTATGTCGACCTCTACATATATCTAAAACCCTGTGTTAAAGTTGGACTGAGCTGACTGTTAATCAGCGCAAGTGAAATAGGAATCACAATTCAATATATGGCAGAGCACACCATCTAGAATCAAGGTGACTCGCCAACTCGACATTCTGATATGAGCACTCGGTGACAATCTTCTGATATTGAACGACTCCAGCTATACCCAACCCTTATGATGGATGTGACTTCACCCTATGGATTTATCAGCTGTTCTATATCCAAGTTTCACTGTTGTTCCTGAGTTCCTCTATTCACGGAGAGGCTCGAGCAGACTTTTACTCATTTAGCTCAGTAATTGTGGGTAGCACTAAGTTGACATGAAAGTAAAAGAAGGAGCTTATTAACTGGGTCTCCCTCGTCAGCTCTTCCTCTTCCCTCTTTCATGGCTTCCTCTCATGGCCCACCTTGTCAATCAACCAATTAATCAAGATTCTATTTAACATGTTAGAGCCTAACTATTAAAACGAGTCATTTTCACCTCGTACGGAAAGGTCTCCTTGTAAAAATTGGTGTTTGGATGATATAGATGGCCCTGGAGGGCTCAGAGGAGGACCATCATCATCTACATCTTGCAGATGACGGATTACACGTTCTTGCTGTGCAATGATGCCGATACTTTGTTCTATATCTCTGTGTCCGGCTCTCCATACGGCTCCTGGCGAGGCCACCCGGGAGAGGGGGTCCTAGGGAGGTATATACCGGGCTAGCTTCCCTACGTGAGTACGTGACACCAGAGAACCAGGAAGTTTATGTAGGGGGATGCTAGGGCCCGACGTCCTCACTTCCTCCCTCACCCAATATAGTCCCCCAGCATCTGCCTATGGCTCAGGTTGAACGCTACAGGAAGTCATTCCCGTTACTCTTCCAGAAGGGCATCCTCCCCTATTCAGAGTTTCCCAAGCCAGCCACGACAGACTCAATGCAAGGCAAAGAGTCAATGGTAGTGGTATATGGATCAATTGGGCCATTGCCTCGACCAATAGCTTCGCAGATACGGGGTTCATTCACTCTTGATAACAATTTTGGCATGAGTCGCATGTGCAAGGCCATGTTTAATATTCTTCCATCAATCATGTCTGGATCCGACCAACAAAAGAAAAGGCAACCCTGTCCCTCAACGGCACAATTATCTCAGGGACAGTATCAAATCCAGAATCCCAATATCCGTGTGCTTTCGTTCAGCATCCCAATGTCCAGACTGGTGCTGGAGATAAATACGGACGGATGGTTTTTGTCGGACTTGTATGTCTTCAATTACCTATTCCGTGAAAGGTCTGGGATAAAGCCAAACCTAGTTTACAGCAAGTCTAAATCTGGCATCCGCAACGGTCGCAATAGGCGAAGTTCTGCAGTCAGGTAATCGAGGGCCTAGAAAGCCAGATAGATTGTCTGCATCAATTCGATCAGATTACTCCCGAGCGGTATCCTTTTACACCGACCTTTATTTAGTTCTGTCGATCCAAGTTTTGCAGAGAAGTACAGAACACGCTTCCATAGAGGTGCGATTGAAGAGATAACGCCAACCAGAGGAAGCCGAAACGCAAGTTTGGTTCTTTCTGTCAATATTGTAAGTTCAAACTTAACTGGAATATAGGAGGGAGCTACCGTACTGTTGATTGAACCATACCGTCGCCCTCTAAGCAACGACCAACTTGATAGACTTGAAAATTGCAGCTTTCTCGTGCCTCTATTCACCGGCGAAGATATAACCGAAAAGACCGACAGCTTCGTTAAGTCAATGCATTCAACTAAAAGATGAACTCAACGCAGGGATTGAGAAAAAGCCCCTCTTCCCGCCAACAATACCGATCATCGCAACGATGACTGTGGTCCGTTCCAATTTCAAGAACTGTATACCACAATAATATTTATCAAAGACAAACTCGATGCTGCATTTAACCGAGGGCTCTTTCAATAGCAGTGTGCAAAATATTATACATAAGGGGAATCGGGTGCTTGCAGATATCTCGAAGAGGAAGGATTTGACTAATATTCTATTAAATACTCTGTTCTTATAACCGGAACTTGTATAGATGATAAACTTCGCCCTGTAGTATTCCTCTTTCATTCGATTTGTCATTTCCTTTTATATATATATATATATCCCTTTCTATAGATTTTCTTGTTATTTAGTCATCTTTGTTTCCAGATAGGACTATTGTCTCCCACATCAAGTGCCACAGACGGTGGGCGAACTTTCCCACATCTACGATATTTGTCCGGCAGACGAATAAATAACTAATTAGACCACTGTCCCTCCCCACCGTCTTTACATGATATTTTCCAGTCTTCCTTTCTACCGTAGTAAGTGCCAGCGAGATAGCAAATCCATTCAATATAATTGCTCCTTCATCGTTTCTATCGAATCACCCCTATGAATAGGGAATAGGCCGGGGATTCCGAGATCACGATTATTATTAGTAGTAGTACGACGCATTTTCCACGTTATCGATACGGCTCCAAGCCATTAATTATACTTGCGGATGCTACTATCTGCGAGTCTATGGATAGATAGATGGGCGGGGAGTCAGATCTCTATCCGCTGAGGAGGGGGGGTACAGAGTAAGTATATCGTCCTGTGTCAGAAGCCAGAGCTTTCCGGACTGCCTCGTTCTGAACAAGCTACCTTAGGTAATGGGCGAAACTTGCTGTCTTCGGAGTAGATGTCGAGAAGGGTTTGAGCCAGCGCATCTACGTCCAATACTGCCGGCGAACTCCATCTCTGGTTTTCATTGCCCAGATTAGATTTCGTATGTCAGAGGTTTGCTCAATGCGATGAAGGGTGGAAGTATGAACAGATACTACGGTATCCCGGTCAAGTCCTTGTCTTGGTGTATACTGAAGGACGGCAATTAATCGATTGCAGTTTAACAGCGCAGTATCTGGTGAGGAAGATCTTCGGTATAGAGTTATCTAGGCCTAGTATAACAGCTATACGAACCGGTTTGGGAAAACAATTGGTGTCTACAGTTACAAATGGGTGCAATCTACACCGTACTAAGAATCATTTAAGTTATTTCAGGTCATTGAAATTGTCCAAGCCAAGATGTATACAAGAATCAAACAAGTAATGTACAAAGTTCTTCATAAATCATAACGCTACCGATGGGATTATAATTAATAATAATGCCATGGAATAAAAAGCATCCAACAAACTCTTGTGGCACGCATTCCACTATGGATGCTCGCGTCCAGTAGAGAAACGTCAAGTCGTAAAAGTGTTTTCAAGAGCAAAGGGTGTGCAACCTTCGACAAGATGACTCCGTCTGCATCTGTCGCCCAGTCGCTTTGAAGTATCAGTGCCTCCCCAAGGTCTCCATTACTTGGTAGATGCAACGGATCAGAACGGCCGCTCTGCATCACCAATGTCCTCTTTACAGAACAATGCTCCCAAGACAAACCACCACGCGAGGGGGGGATCAGGTAGCCCTGGCCCCGCTCTATATACCAATGCAAAGGTCATTAAACAAGCATCAACCCCTTCTAGGCACAACGAGTGAAGTGCATGCAAAAGGCGCCCCAGAACTTTTCTCTTTCCATCATGGTTCCCAATCACAGGCGCCAATGGTGTGAGCGATCGACAAGAATTTTAAAAAAGTATATGTACCTGGCCGAGCACAAGAAGAAAAGCGAAGCAAAACGCTCGACCAGCGGAAGAATAGCGAATGACTGTAGTTGGAATGGGACGAAATCGTCCGACCTGGAATGATCCAGGTAGCAGTGTACAAGCGAATGACTCCAAGGACACCAGTAAAGCTCAAGCTCCTGAGCAGCGAAAATCGCGCCCAGTCCGCTCGACCTTTGGAATTAAGATTATTGACGGAGCTTCAAGGAGACTCGGGGCCGTAGGAGCACATCAGACAGCCCAACTGATTTCGCAACGTATGCATGCACAGTTGAACATGCGCGAGTAAAACGACGCGATCCGGGGGACCATTAAGCCGGATGTGCCGAAAACAGGCGTATTAAAAATATATGTGTCGAAATATGCTCAATGCAATAAGAATCCAGCATGTCGTAAAATGGTAAAAAACGCCGTTCGTCAGTAAATGAAAAACGCGAGTGCGGTGTATACAAGTTGATGGCGCCGAATCACGGGCTGATCATATGCCTTCCGGACTCGATATCCGAGGCAGGGGAAGCAAGAGCCTCGCCCTCCCAGGTGTAATGGTCATCGATGGGACTCAGAGAGCCGGAGGAGACGGAGGAAGACGAGCCAACCGTCCACTCATCACTGTCCAGGTTGAAGTCGCCATCGTAGTCGGCCAGATCGTAGCCATATTCCCGAGCGGAATCGCCGTATTCCACGTAGTCGTAGTCCCATCGGAACATCTTGTCGGTTTGAACGCGGGGCATGAACCGAGTCTTCGCGAAGTAGAACGCGACCGTGGCCAAAAGTCCACCACAAACCAGATCAACGGCGTAGTGGTGGGACAGATACATGGTTGCCCACCACATCCACAGGGTATACGTCACGAACAATGGCTTCAGGCGAGGGAAAACCAGGCTCATGAAAAGTGCTGCCAGAGTGGAATCGGCGGCGTGCAACGACGGGAACGCACCGAAGACGACCGGGGATTGTTTGAAGCCCGAAGTGTAGAGGTCGATGCCCAGGAGCTTGTCAATGCGAGCGAGACCCGCGGGGTTACCTTGCATTGAGTAGTCGGCTGGTGCCAGACCGTACAAGTTCTCGTACCACGGGGGAGAGCATGGGAAGAACAGCTGAATGGTGACTGCCATCATGCTGATATAGCCGAACGTCCGCGCAAAGATGGGCACGATGCCGGGAGGGCCGAAGATGAACATGATCAGAGAAACGACGAAGGGAGCTCCGTAATGGCAGAGACCATATGGAATCCAGGCTAGCACGTCAAGCACAACATTCTGATGAGCAGACAGGATGTTGCTGATGTTGGCGCCGTAGAGGATATTCTCCAATGCCGGGAGCACCCGGACCCAAATAGCCGGACGCCAATCGCTCGGTATGAACCTGGAGTCGACTCGATTAGCCAATTGCCTTCTTTCCAAGGCCATGTCAGCGGGCACAGTGAGTTCACTTACTGGCAAGCGTAGAAAAACAGAAGCCATCCAGCAATCGGCAGAAATGGCAGAAAGAACTGACGAGTGATAGGAAGCAGAAGAGCGACAATGTACGCAGTAAACATGGCCGTCTTCCCCAACGGCCCGGGCGACTCAATGACTGTCAATGAGAAGATCGCGACAATCAGCAATAGCAAATATTGAAAGTCGTATGTCGTCCACCGATGGCTTTGCAGCGACCGGAGCGTGTCCACCGGTGAGAACGAGGTTTGTAAAGAGGATATCGACGAGGTGGGAGATATCCTACTCCTCAGCTTCGACCGAATCTTCCGTCGCATGCGGTGCGGCACCAGGAGCTGAATTGAACGCCATGGTACTTGGATTTGAAGCTTCCCGAACTGATTTTGCGTCCGATCCTTCCATGACGGAAGGGTGGGATTCATCTCGGCGGCAAGTCTTTCACACAAGACTCAAGGAAATTCCTTCTGGGAGGGACAATTTCACGGCGGACTGGTTGGAAACGGGAGCAAGAATGCTGCGAGAGTCGAGAAGAAGAGGATCGAAGGACAGAAGAACGTCGGCGGAGCTGACGGAAAGGGGGGCTTCTAGGCTTCAACGTGACGTTGAACTAGACACCAGGAGCAGAACGTTTTGATCACCGACAGGGACCGACAGGCGGAGAAATTCCAGGTGAATTAGTTATAGTTGGGAGCGCGGGCTCCGGTCTCCAGCGGCCAAACGAGGAGGTTTCTAGTGGAGGTCACGTTGCAAGGGTTCCTCTGACGCAAGGCGGACCGTAAGGGCCGGAAGACTGAGAGAACCAGGAACGAGATCGAGTCGCAAGGCGGGCAGATGGCCACGGAGCCGGAGAGTTCGTGGTGGTGGAATTAGGGAGGGAGGTCGACGGGGGTCGGAGGAGGGTGAGGAGGAGAAGTTGAAGTCGGAGGAAGGAAAGAAGAAGAAGGAAGAAGAGGAAGACTCCGGGAAGTCAGTATTTAGTAAATGAGACGATACGTGAGGATTTTGCAGGTGATGGACCACAGCGCCAAAGGTGAAGAGCGACGGGGCGACGGACGTCGGCGGATACGATTACGGGGCCTAGCGTATCCGTAATTACGGGAGTTGGCCCGTATCGTTGTCGTCACGACTAACCCAATCGAGGTGCACCTGTCGATGCCACTAAGCCTCATCAGGGCAAGTCGCGTCCCCCAATTAGGACTAGTCAGCTTCAGGAGGTGCCGAGGATGCGATGAAAACTCCCGGACCCGAGAGTGCCTGAGGAGTTGTCCCAAGGTCTCAAAAAAAATCAATCAAGAAATATAGAAGAAAAAAAAAAAAAAAAAAAGAAATGAACAGCGATAGAAAATTTCGGTCTTCCTCCAGAATGCGGCACTGGGACGGATAACGTCCGACAGCCCCATACAGACTACGTTCTAATGACTGGCGGGTACGGCGGAGATTCGGAGGATACGGGAATAATAGACGCCGAGTCAACATCGAAAGAAAAAATGTGACAAAGGTGATTACAAGGGGCCAATTACTAGTAGTTGGGTCGAGAATACCGGTAGGTCGTTTGAGAAGTACAGTAAGCAAAGAGAAGACTCATCATCAAATCGGCCATAAATACAAATTAAACAGGAAAGTAAGAAAGTAAGAAAAATTGAAAAAAAAAAAAAAGAAGAAAATGGCGATTCCAATCCGAGTTAAACCATCGGACCAATCGTCATGGCACCCTTTCATTGATTTGGGAATGATCCCCCACATTTGGCCGGTCTCCGCCAACGGGAGGGCGAGGATCTTCCCAAGTCAATTTCGCTTAATCCACAACGGTCACACTGACCGGCCAAAGAAATCGCCGATTCACATGCAGCCAAGACCCACTGTCCCTGAATTAGTCTAGTAGTGGTGGTAATTGGGTTGCTACTATACAAGAGCACGTCCTTTTACTCTTCTCCTTTTATTGTGCCAGAGCTTCGTCTGGACAAGAGTCTTGGGCAAGAAGCAAAGGGTACAGTGTCGAATGGGTCTGATAGCGGATCCAAAAAGAGGCTCTGATCGGCCCTCTGGCAATAGTGTCTACGTAGTAAGTTTACTTGGTCCTTAGTACTATTATCTCACCATCGAAAGACTTTCTTATAAGGAGGTTCAGCCAATAACCGCCGGAGTCAACCTTGTGGCACACTAAGGCAAAGTCAGCCAACCTTTGCTTTATTTTGTTATATTTCGAGTATTCTTATTAGTAGTACTCCGTATTATTCTTGCCCCCAAAGAACGGTCTACCAGCCATCACAATTTAGATCCCCGACAAGTTTCTTTCAACTTCAAACAATTGTCATCGTGGATTTAGTGCCACACCAAAACAACATCTGCGTTTGGGGGCAGTCCAAAAGGAGAAGATGCATGGTTAAATGAAGTGACACGGCATTAGTAAACAATAAGCCGACATGACATCCCTGAGCTCCCAAGACATTGTCGAAAGAAGGTCGTAGTATTCGAGTTGTACTCAGTGTAGGTAATGAGTATCGTTGTTTTTTTTTTTTCTTCCTTTTACTCTCTACTAGTTCCCCAACTAGTAGCACATTATTGGGCACACGAGACAACCTTACGGCGCAGGGCCAGATTACCGTCCGGTAAGGTACTGGAACCATACCGAACCAAAGACCATAAGTGGGAAGATCACGGCAAGCCGCGCCGAGCGGAGCTGATCAATCCTGCATCCGAGAAAATTAATACTACATAAGTTCAAGTTCAGGAGCTTTGAAGCTTGGAGCAAAAGAGAAGGGGGACAGGTGACCACACGTTCAATTCCTTTGTGCTGCTGCAACTCCGTAACCTCCGTGCTCATCGTACATACATACATACATACATACATACATACATACATACATCCCTCCAGTCCTGCCGTTTCACCTTTCGCCCCAACATTTCTCAGTGATCTCATCTTAATTTTAATCTCTAAGGCGCATCAGCATGGCTGAGTTCTTAGCTTACTCTGGAGTAGATTAAGAATGGAATGCTATCGATCGATGCGTGTATCACGTTGAAAAGTCACTCATCCGGTTTAATATATTTCACAGAATCCGGATTGGTTCTCCCCCGTATAAGAATCTCTGGATAACTATAAATATGCTTTCACTTCAACTATTCAGGAGTTTAAATTGGCCTCCGTTGCTCGTATTCGTTCAGGGTTCTATCCAAACCGAGAAAAATGCTGGTTGCCTGGCGCACAGTGGATATGAATGAGCTCGGACCATGACAGCAGAGCCCAGCGCCAAGGAAATAAGGCAGGATTCAAGGGAGGCTGATCATCATCACCGAGAAACACAGCCCTGACAAGAGGAGCAAGAGCGATAAAAAAACAAAAACAAAAACAAAAAAATGAACCCTGATGATGATGAGTTCGCAATAGAACCAGGATTTCTTGAATAGGATACTCCATCGCTTGGGTTTACATCATGTTCGGTCGGGGTGCGGGGGTTGTCGACTGAGTACTGCATATGAACCAATCTAATACATCATTCGACATCATAGACGCCGACCTTGCCGTGGCTACCGAACTCCCTCATCTTGGATCCCACATGTCTCATGGGCCAACGACCAGTATCTTCCGACTTGTCGAACCTCCAAACATCTATACTTTCCTCAGTTCACCACGATTTGCCCTCGTGATGGGAGGATGGGCGCATGGCTCAACATCACCTGATGGCCGCAGCCCTCGTGTCCTCGAATAACAAGTCCAGGCTTTCTGCACGGCAAGTCTGCATGAGGTCATCCTGCATGCTTCCATGATCCATTTTATTTCCCATTTTTTTTCCTTTCTTTTTTTTCCATGTTCTCCTCACTGTGAGGGCATGACCCTTGCATGAATTCGAAATTATTTCCGCCTGGCCTGGACGGACTCAAATGATCGTCTGGAGTCAATTCCCGAACGATAATCTAACGGCAGTCGATCAGCGGCGGGTTGACCTCGGTGATTGGGACCATGTCACAACCACTTTCCACCTGCATAAGGTTCATTAAACATGGTTGCACAGTCATTAGACATGGGACCCATCGGCTGGACGCCCTCCAGAACGCTTCACTGTCCATAGCTTGAACAACACAACATGCGCTATCCTGGAGTCGATCGCATAGCCAAGCGATCCTGCCATGGCTAATCCAATCAGACGATAGCGGTGACTCGATTTGTTGGCACCCACTTGGGGATCTACAGCTGATCGGATATCGGATCAGAAGCGCATCCTGAATGCACTTGTATTGTGCGAAGCATGCGGTACGTATAACCACCATCTACCGATGTGTGTATGCTGGGGTGCTTTCGAGATTCATAGACGTTGTGTGTATCTGTCGGAATATCCGACGATTAGGTAGATCGTAGCAAGTACTAGCTATGTACTCCATACCGTCAAACTTCTATTTTTATCCTGGAAGGTCATTCGCCTGGAAAAGTGAGCCTGGACCAGACAAAGGACGTGGTACTACTAGTAGTAGTTAACCTAGCTGGATGGCATGCTTTGTTTGGTGAGTTAGGGCTACAGCGTGCAAGGGCGAGTTTCTTTTCATTAAAACCCCGAACATAGCTCGAGTCGAGACAACCCCAACACAATCGAGCCTTACAGCCCACTCCCATCAGTTCGACGGGTGATGCCCTTGAACCGAAAGCTATGACTGACGATCAGGATCGCAAATGATACCTGAGTCCCCGTAAGACTTAACTAATGCAGGTACAACACAGATGAAACAAACCACATTCCCACTGTACAACCCCGGCATGTCCATCATCCAACATTACACCACCATTCATACCCGATACGAAAGGTTGCATGCGAGGGTTCCAAACACAAAAGAATAAAATAAAATAAAGAGACTGAGCCAGATCCCTACATTATCCAGAACCTGAAACAGCGTGGCATCTGAACAGGCACCAGCGAATAGAACGAGGCGCTGCAGTGGCAGTGCCCTTGCTCGCACCGAATGGGCCAAAACACGTTTCCCGGCCGGGACCAGTGTGATGTCATTGGCATGTCTTTACGTCCAATTGCGTCGCCGGCCGTTTCTGGAATGCGTTGGAAGAAAATTAGCATCGGCGGTGTCAGATGTGTTGGAATGTGGCGTGTGGGCGATGCATGGGCTTTTGTCCCGAGGAAGGGCGAGGCTGGAATGTAGGAACGGGCACGGGCCAGTGGGGTGGAGTGAGTTGAGGAATAAATACGTCTGGCGGTCTTACCTGGCATGTTCTGATACGACCCGACTGGTTTTCTTAGAGCGCTTTGTGATGACTGATTGGGTTGGCAGCCTTTCAGGTTACCGGTGTTTCATACAACCCTAGGTAGACATCCTTGTGGTGTATCATTAGTGGTGAGTGAGCCATTAGAGGGTGGAAGGCTAGTAATTATGCGCGCAAGTCTTTTCCTCTCGCTTCCTTCGCGTTATCGTAGCTTTCTTCCAATGAGAGGGCATAGTAGATGTTTCTGTATCGCCCTCAGGGAGGGATTGCCCTGTCTTGCTCTTCTCATAGAACAAGGAGACTTTACCATTTAGCCTACATGAATGGCGGCGCTTGTATCTTACAGTACAGTGCTGAATTGATATGGGACCTCCAGTCAAGATAATACGTCCTCCGAATTAGAAATTCAGCATCTGCATATAATTTATCGTCGAGTAGATGTCTTGATAAAATATACCCAGTTTGGAGCCACCGTAGACACCACGTTGCTAGCTAAGATAGAAGCCATAACAAAGAGAATCTCATGAAGTTCCATAAAGTATAGTTCACGCAATTAGTTATAATCCTGCACCTGCCACTGATTAACCACAGTGCTTGAATTGCATGATCCTTGGTGGTTATTAGCTGATTTGATAGGGAAACGTCGAGTTGGGATACAAAAGCGTACTATAATCGATTCGAATATCCTTGGCTGGCTCTGTGGTCACATTAAGCCTGCTTGCAAATCTGACAACTGGACTATGCATCGCCGATAGAGCTGAGACTGCAGTAAGCCTGAAGGATGATCTCTGGTGGGGGGCTCAAACCCAGGCGGTTTTATAGCAGAAGCGGATCCGAGAGCTTAACCCAATGGAATAGGCTGTCAAACTGAGCAATTGAAACAGAAAATTATTCGGCATGACATAGGGCTGATAAAGTATCTACGTATTTTGGCACCATGAATGCGTTCCCACAGTTGAGATCGCATGTCTTTCTGTGAAGGGTTGAGTGACCTCGTCGACAAATTCATAGTTATTGAGGTTAGTTAGGGCTATCGCCCCCTCTCTGATTGTCCGAGGGCCCCAAACACCAACCAACCCTCTGGCTTGGGTTTCTACCACGGTATGTGAAACACATTGAAGCAGAAAATGCGTTTAAAGACTTTGGGGAACTTGAGCAGCTACCCCTCACCCTATCTGCACTACCGATGATTCACGGTTATAATGCTTTAGAGAACGTACGTCTTGCAATTCGAGCAGCCCAGCCTTTGATACAGCCCCATTTTTGCTCAATAGACACCCTGAAGCCGACACACATCCAGTGTATGAGAAGTTGTGAAACCTTGCAGCAGAGCAACCTGGTGTGTGTACATTGCGCATAAGATAGCGATATGAAAGATCTGGTGCGAGCTTCCCCAAATATCAAACCTACCCGGGGCCAAACGCTCCGGAATTCGGAACTATCGATGTTCATCAGAATTCTTGTCTCTTAGGAAAGGGAACACGCGGTGAGCGTGCAGAAATACCGCGTATAGACTGACGCCAGTGCCATAGAAAGTAAGCTCCAGCAGATACCATTTCATTCCCGAGTATTGGAGCATGTATTCAGGCCTGTATCGTTGGATTCCATGCAGCAGGGGTATGAACGATGAAGCGCCAAAAGTAACGAAGGCGCTCATCTTCACTTTCCGCCAGCGCGGCGTTTTGAGCAGGGGATTCGAGATTATAACACCGGTGACAGTACCGGTGGTTAAGACCTTGAACTCATGTCAGCGTATCATTGGATTCGACTCGGCTGCCAGGGACAGTCGTGACGATCGCTCGGAGGGACTCACAATAGCCCAATGCAATTTTTGCAAGCTGGCTTCACAGAAGAATACATAGTAGATGCCGGAAGAGAATGTGCCCACTGTCACAATGACAATACCAAGCAGATCCATTCCATGCCAAAACTGTTCTACTTGATGCGAGTGGGGTTGCATCAGATGGTAAAGTGCGCTGAGGACCAAACAGATTTCCGCACACCAGAAGTAGATTCCAAACATGGTGTAGTCCATGGATGAGACATTGAGAAATTGAGGCTCTGCCAGGTACCGCAGGAAGGTAGTTGCGACGAGTGGTAGGAGCAGAGCCCCGATCAGATGAGTGTACACATTGCAAGACTCGTTGTGCAAAAAGGTCAGGCTGGTAAAGATCTCTAGATAGCCTGCTTTCGCTGGTCGATAGCCGCTGAGGATATACTTGTTGTCGATCTGCCATTCGGAAACCTCCTGCCACGTTACGGTTCGCGCTGTAGCCTTTGGCTGGTTTGTGGGGTCGTTCGTGGTGCTCATATTGACTTTCGACACTTGCCGTTTTGTGAGTTCTGCTCCTGACATGATTCCCGAGATATCTCAACTGCGCTTGACGATGAATCACGCATAGGAGGGTACATGAGGAGTAGATGACGGAGATGAGGTGAAGGATGCCAAAGGGCTGGATCGTTGAAAGAGTTGAAAGAAGGGCAGAGGAATGGATGAGACTCACAAAGAGAGTGTGTTCGCTAGGCCTGCAACAAAGTGATTGCTGAGGAATATAAGGTCCCTTCATCCCCACGCACAGTCAGGATGAAAACATACCCTCTCTTCTGTCACACGGTCACACTGTCACACCGGGTTCTAGGACCTTGGTCGCGATTGCTGATCCAACAACTTTTAGGAGCCTCTTTATACGTAAAGACGGGGATCAGCTTCCTGGATCTTTGGCGCACTCACAAGGACTTCCGCCATGGAAAGTCTAGATCGCATGGAAAATATCTTCAAGACGATATTTATCCACCCATCGCAGAACACGCAACACAGCGCAACTCTCTTTTCCATAGATACATGGTTATGCCAGATATCGTGCCAGATCCTACTATCATGGATGATTAGCTGGCTCGCTTTACACTGTGGGCATCAAACATGGATGTTTATGGACCGCTCAATGTTTCCTTGGATTACAGACTCCGATTCAGTCCCACAGTCGTGGAGATCATACATCAGCTCCTGGACGTTATTTGTGATAATCTGACGTCCTGTAAGTACTTGTCACCCCAAATATGGATAGACTGAGCGTCAAGGATTCTCTGCTAAGGGGAATCTCGACAAGCAGTGAAGCTAATTGAGGACCCACCGCAGACGCCGAGAAGGAAAAGACAACGCATATCAGAACAAAGCGATTCTGAAGTCACGAGGAGAGCCGATGACGATGCAAGCTACTCGGACAGCGACATGGGTCCAGCAGAAGACAACATATCGAAAATCACTGATGCAATCGGCGGAACTGTGACACGGCTCTTTCGTCTATCCAATGCTGTAAAACTGCCTAGTGATGTTGGCGAAAACGCTGAGAACGTTGATAGCGACCAGCCACTAGAGGATGATGGGCCGGGGTTTACAAATTTGCGTGCATTCATGTACAGTGTACTGGACGATGAATCTTTAGACTTCCAGGACGACGATTCTGAGGATGCAAATGGCATTTTGGACCACCGCGACGAGGACACTAGTGCATCGGTAGCAATACTCGATTTGGACAAAGACGACTCGGGAATGACCTGAGGCTGACCATCCTCTTGATATGTGGTCGTATGTACTAGTTTATTCTAAGTAGTAATATATATAGTGAAAAGCATGTTGGTGAGATAGTGTCATGGCGGGCTCGGGTATAGCTATATAGGGGGCTAAGCAAGCGATATCAGACCTAGGGCCTGAGTATTGTGGCCTTATGGCCTAGTTCGGGATGGACTTTCCTAGACACCCGTTCTTACAGATAGATTGTATATGCTGTATAGTTAATTAAGTAAACCTTCTAAGAGTTGTTACATGTTCTCTTTGAGAAGAGCGTGACGTGTGCCATAACGTTGAGCATAACGTTATGCTATTCCTGGCATAACGAGAGCTTCCAATGTTCAGGAATCTATATATACAGCGACAGTAATGTGGCCGGAGAAACAACAATACTTCAGACTTTCATATTGATAACCAGCTAGAGCTTCTATAATACCGCCCATACTACTAGTACTCCGTATTTACTCCCTCGAAATGAGCCTATCAGACAAGATAGCTATTGTGACCGGGGCCTCTCGCGGGATTGGCGCTGTAATTGCTCTGGAGCTTGCCAAACAGGGAGCAAAGGTATACCGTATACTTTCCATTCCACACGCACTAAGCCATTAGAGCTGACCATTGATATAAATCTTGTAGGTCGTGCTTACCTATGTGTCAGCCAGCAGTGAGGAAGCCGTCGATGAAGTTATACATCAGATACAAGGCTTGAACAACGGCTCCGATGCTGCCAAAGTGCGAATCGACCTCCACCGGGTGGAAGCCCCCGAAACAATCCTCTCAGCGACCTTCCGCGCGTTTCCCTCAAGCGATGGCAAGGTGGATATTCTTGTCAACAACGCGGCACATTCGCACTGCAAGCTTCTTGCGGACACAGAAATCGAGGACTACTCCTCTATGTTCGATGTGAACGTCCGCAGCACCATTTTCATGACCAAGGCTGTGTTGCCGCATCTCCGTGCCCCGGGGCGCATTATCAACATTACATCTATCGTAGCTCGTCGGGGATCAGTGGGGTTTTCTATCTACTCGGCTACGAAAGCAGCTGTGGAAGGGTTCACCAGAGCCCTGGCATGCGAACTGGGTCCCTATGGTCACACCGTCAATGCCGTGGCCCCCGGAGCCGTGGAGCCAGGCATGTTTCGGGGATCGGTGCCGGATGACTTGGTGAAATATGTTTTGGACAGCACACCTCTGGGGAACCGTGTCGGGACACCAGAGGAGATCGCTGCCGTCGTGACTTTCTTGGCTGATCCAAAGGCGTGTTGGTTGACGGGTCAGACGATATGTCCTAGTGGGGGACTGAACATGGTCTGAATTCATGTTTTAGATACAGCAGTGTTACTCTGCTGGAAGTGTTATATTAGTTTAGGAAAGCTCAAGACATTTCTCGCCTCTCTCTTTTCGTCCGCGGTTACTTCTCTCCACAGTGTCTGTCTCAAAGGCCGCCCACCACCTTTCAAACATCAGCTGTCCAATTTCCCAACCCGCAGCCTCGAATGGGTTGCTCCTGTGAACCCTGATTCCCTCTCCCCCGTCGTCTTCCATATCATACACCAACCGTACGAGCCCCATTGGACCCTGAGCAGACTTCGGACGTAAATTGACAGGGAGGTTAAACACCTGGATCAATTTATCCCGGGAAGTCGGCCAGGGGAGGAGATCTAGAATCGGGTGATGCGAGATAAGAATTTGAGTTCCAGTTGGCCGTAGATGGTCAGGCAATGTATCCAGATCGATGTTAATCGTATCGCTTGTTTGACTGGAGCCTGATGTCTGTGTAGTAGAAGAGGGCGGCGAAGAAGTAGAAGATTGGGTGTATAGCTGTGGTCTGTAAAATGGACTCACCGCAGCAATATCCCAGAGGCAATCTCCGATGCCGAGCCTTTGAGCTACCCTAACTGCCGCGCTCAAAAGAGTAAGGGAGGGAACTTGGAGCAAGTGATCATCGGGAAACGCGAAATTAGAGGACTGGTAAGCTTGTAGATCATCCGAGATATTGTACGCGCTCTCGGGGTTACTGAGCAAACCATCGAACTGTGCATCATCGCCGTCGCTATGGCCTTGAGCTGACATTTCTGGCCCCAGGACTAGTGGTAGTGAAGAGACCTCTAGAGGAACGCCACTTGTGGAGATAAGTGGGCCTAGCGACTCTTGCCCCGAGGTTCTTGGAGAAAGAGTAGTGAGAAATGGTGAAGCAAGCATTGATAGGTCTGAGGGAAGTAAATGTGGTACGGCTGGTAAGAAAGGTCCTGTGAAGACCTCCGGCACCAGAGTCATATCGTTGAATTCAGAGGCCGTACCAGCAGGACAGGAAGCAGCGCCCGTTGGGGTTGTCATTCCCTGGCCTTCATAACCTGAGTTTACAGTATTACTCTCACCCAAGGGAACTGGAGTCGAGAAGGGAGAGAAAGCATCCGTCAGGAGGCCAGTGCCACCTCTGTCTACGTCGGGTTCCGCGGCCGTTAATTCGTCACTATGCGGACTCACGCTTTTTGCTTGCGCTTCCAGGGCTTCTATTCGACATTTCCTTCTTTGTCCTGCCATGGTTCAGATCGAGATACTAATTCTCTATTGGAATATAGAACTTACGGTATCGTCTTTGGGCAAGTACATTCAGGACTCGTTTCCGCTCTGCCGCATCTTCCGTGATGTCCGGTGCAACCAGATCTCTGTCTTTGCGTTTTCCAGCCATCTCGGCTCGGGGATATGCATGCTTGTTTCGGTAGAGGTTCTAGCAGGCCATGCGAGGTGGGTGACAACACGAGGATGACTCATCTAAGAAAGTTGACGTAAGGGATGTTGCGCTTGACATCACTTCTTCAGATTCAACTTCCATGATGCGGAAAACACCGGGGGTGCTGGACGCCAATATCCACACGACCATCTGAACGGATCCATTCGGTATACCTATAAAACTACCAGCCGTCCTAAATCACATTGGTTCAAACAAAATCCTTCCACGCAGGCACACTTCCATGGATCAAGGCCCTTCATGCTAACTGGTTCCAGTGCAGGAGAGAGTTCTAGACCTTTATCCCCTCAAACAGATGAAGCCACTTGTAGACATCGGTAGTAGTGGCGAGTCCTTCTGGCGTTCACTAATGAGCTAATAGAAGTCAAGGTCCTGTCACGACTTGCTTAGTTATGTTACTTTTCCTGTACAATTCTGGCGGTGAACTACAGGAGCTCGAGCGTACTATTTCAGATTCATACCCCATGAGTCCCACAATGATGGTTGTAGAACAGCGCTAAAGGATATGTTTAGGAACGTCGAAAGGGATGCGCTAAGCTTCTGATTGAAGGAATATCTTTCCGGATGGGAAAGCCAGACAAATTGAGCTGAATGGTTGGTATGAGCTTCGTAGTGCTTAATCAATGATCCATACTCAATTATAATGGGCAGTATGGGGGACTCAAATGGCTGAGGTAAACTTTCCTCGCGTGCGCCACGGTCTGACAAGACAGGTATATATACCCTCAGGTCCTCAGTGTCATGGCAGGAATACTCCGGCTATCTGGTAACCAGGGGCATTTACGCACCGCCTGTTAAAATCCTATTTGGCTCTTTATTGCATGACATCTCAGTAACAGATATGGTGGTCACTGACGAAACAGTAGCTGAAACTGCCACCACCGGTGCGACACCATCGCATGGCGATACGATCGCGGCTGCACCGAGCGCACCGAGCGAGTTTCCGCGCCTTCTGAGAAAGATCAACTCCCACGGTGAAGAGTTTATCAATGGCCAGAGAGAGGCAAGATCTAAAACTTGTCAATGCAGCAGAGTCCTTAGTCCACGCTTTGGAAACACCTAGTAAGACCATGATGCGGCACTGTGCTCCGGTGCGACCTCTTACAATTGTCTCTTATTCTATTTTCTCTCATGGCAAAGCGATACCAATGTACTTATTTGCTCTTCAGTGCGCCGCGTATGCATCGATTGAGGCCTGTATCCATCTAGGGGTATTCTCGCTAATAGCCTCTAGCAATGATCCAAAGGGTGCTAGGGATCTTGCAGGCGCTACTGGGGCAGATGAACAATTGCTGGGTTGGCTACTTCCTTTGCATAGATATGGTTAATGCACAGGAAGTCAACATACTGTAGGACGTCTGTTGAGGTATTTGGCTGCAATGGGGGTGGTCACGGAGGCTGGCCCGGATGAGTACTATCGCAACGGACTCTCAACAGCCCTGGGTATGAAGCGATATAGCGACGCATGGCTATGCGTGTACGTTCTTAATAATTTTGTTTCAGACCCGTATCCTAGCTCATTATAACAATAGGTCAGGATCACTTCTTGCAGCAGTCCATGCGCTCCCAGCATGGCTAGAGAAGAACGACTATCACAATCCTACCGATGCACGGAACACCGCGTTCAATATGCAATACAACACCGACCTCCACTATTGGGAGTAGCTGTTCTCCAATCCAGAACATTCTACCCTTACGCGCGGTCTTTCCTTGGGTCTCTGCCGGAATTTCAACAATGTGAGGAAGCTGGGAACTTCTGTCGGGTATGAGTCCGTGAGAGTTACATGTGGATATGACCACAGCCAAGAGAAAAAGTCCTGTTTCTTCCAGAAATGACTCTTTCAAGAAAAGAATCATCTGATCCACCAGAGGCCATTAGGCTCGTATTGGGTAATGGAGAACCCAGAGTAAATTCCCACATCCAATGGTCCGCGTCAGTTGCCCACCCCTTTCTTCTCATGTATGAAGGGATGGCCCAGCTACCGGCATATTGAGGTCACCTTAGCCGGGTATAACCGCTTGACGAGTTAAATGTGTAGTAATAGAGGGTACCTTACTGTAAAGGGGATTTTTATAACAAATCATGGGGATGTTTTGTCAGGGTACGTAGTACAGGGAGTATCATAAGTAATTGGGCGGATGACCTGCGGACGGGCCGAAGAAAAGGCATATATGAATATCATGCATCGTTGGGATATATATTGACATAGTAAAGTACGTACAACGGCTCCAACAGCATGGTCTTGTGTATGCGCAAAGATGTCAAGATGCATATGTATCTTCTGAAGGAGCCTGCTAAGCTTAGTAGAAAATAGGCATCGCCGATCATCCGACACAATGGTCAGCAGATGGCGATCAAGGATGTATGGTCTACATTCCTGCTGTCATTTGGTTAATAATGGCAATTAGGCCCTCCACTCCAACAAGTAAAGCATCATTGGTCTAGTGGTAGAATTCATCGTTGCCATCGATGAGGCCCGTGTTCGATTCACGGATGATGCACTTTCTTTTTCTCCTTTTTGACTACCGACAATATCCCTCATGGTATCTCCAAATCTCCAATAGGTCATATTTATTCCATTTTCCTCTTTTGTTTTAATAATCCAATGCAATCCTTGACTCGCCGCATCTACGGTGCAAGCATCACCGTTTATTGCCCTTTTCTCTTGCACCTGGAATCCTGAACTGGGTTTATGGAAGCGATATATCATATGTATGCACTATTCGGTACTCACAGGTACTATTCCTAGAAACTGGGTCCAAACCAATCCCGAGACTGTTGCATGACGAGCGCTACGGCGATCATTGGCAATAAATCGCCTTCCTCGGAGATCGCATCGCCAGTAGCGCATGACGAGAGTAGTCGTAAGCCATTCAGGAACCCATGATGCCTTACTCATTCTCAAGCAAGCTCGAGGCAAAGATCAACCTATACTCCGCGTAGCTGGGACCCCTTGCCTTGCAAGGAATGTACCTGTCATCATGGACTTACCAAGGCCGAGACGAGAAGAGTCCCTCCAGTCCTCATGTCCCTTCCAAAGATGTTAAAAGGGTCTGGAATCAGGGCCAGACCGAAAGTTCTAGCTCCATCGCTCACTGTTTAGCGTTTAGCTTGTCTCCATGATCTGAGACACAATGTCATCACAATCATCTGATGCTCTCGAGCTCAAAGAATCCGATGCCAGTGTCTCTCAGATACCGGCAGAGGTTTCATACAGCAATGGCGGCTGGGATGATGACCCTCAAAACCCATTGAACTGGTCGAATGCCTGGAAAAGGACAATCATTGCACTGATTGCCTTCGCCACGTTCAACGAGTGAGTATCTTCATCGCATCAAGATCTACCCTGCCCGATGGCTGACATTGGGATCCGCATCAGCGCTGCAGCATCAACCATTTTCACCCCAGGGGTACCGCTCGTTCTCGAAGAATTCCACACGACAAACCCCACCCTATCACCGTTTCTCATATCGATCCATGTCATTGGCTTCGCAACGGGACCGCTGCTTTTCTCCCCTCTCAGTGAGATCTACGGGAGATGCCCTATCATTCATATTTCAAATATCACTTTCTTTTTTTCTTGCATTCTCTGCGCCCTCAGTGTCAACGTACCTATGCTAGCTATAGCTCGCATCCTTCTGGGAGTGGCTGGTTCCATACCCAACGCATTGGCAGGAGGCTTTGTGGCGGACATGATCCCTCTTGAAAAGCGGGCGAGCTCGCTCGCCTTGTTGACCGCCGGGACTCTATCAGTACGTAACCTTTGTCAAGCTGTCAATATCTCTGCTAATCAATATCCCACTTTAGGGCACGGTGGTCGGTAAGCTCGCCCTGGAACACCACACAGACACACCACACTTGCACAATCGCCCATAATCATAGGATGAACTTCTTACATTGAATCTAGGCCCGATTGCAGGCGGTTATATGGCACTAACCGTGGGATGGAGATGGACCTTCTGGCTCGAAGCCATTCTGGTACACGCCCAAGCGCACAACTCCATACACGAGCAGAAACACTAACACATGATGCAGGTTGGCTGCAGCACGATAGCATCATTCCTACTCCTCCGAGAGACCTACGCACCGACGCTCCTCCGAAGAAAAGCCGCAAAACTAGGCACCCAAAAGCCCTTCAAAGAAAGCGAGAGCCAGTGGCAAGTCCTGCGGAGAGGCATCTCACGACCGATGAAGCTCTGCCTCTACTCGCCCATCGTGATGATCATCTCGCTCTACAACTCCATCGCCTACACATACATGTACTACATGGTCACCACCTTCCCCACGCTGTTCGGCGAAGAATACGGCTTCAACGCAGGCGAGGTCGGCCTCACCTACATCGCCCAAGGAGTCGGCTGCCTACTCGGCCAGGTCGTGGTCGGCCGCTTCGCAGACTGGTACATTGTACGCCAACGAGCCCGACACGGCACCACGACGCCCGAAGACAGACTGCCCCCCGCAATCGTCGGATACGCCATTCTCGCCATCGGCATGCTGTGGTTCGGGTGGTCAGCACAGGCCCATGCCCATTTCATGGTCCCGATTGTCGGCTCCGGTGTGGTGGGCTTGGGCATCGTGGGTGGGTTTCTCGTCGTTCAGGTGTATATTGTGGATGCCTTTGAGATCTATGCTGCTAGTGCTTTGGCGGCCAATAACCTTATAAGGGCTATTTTTGCTGCCCTCCTGCCCATGTCCGGCCCGGCGATGTATGATCGTCTTGGGTATGGCTGGGGTGATACCGTTCTCGGCCTGGTGGCGCTGGCTATTGCGCCGACTCCGTTGTTGCTGATGAAGTATGGGGAGAGGATTCGGAGGCGGTGGCCCGTAGAGCTATAGATAGTGGTACTAATGTTATTTTTTTTTTTACATTCGTTCTATGCCTTGTTCTCTCTTATCTGAATCATGGTTGTAAGAGCACTGGTGTACATCTCATGAAACAGGAAGGCGGCTATTTACCTTCCTTAAGAGTATAATCCTCTCTTCTCTGCCTGAGTAGTACCTTTTTTTTTGTCTTATTAGCCTGAATTTCTTATCGGTAGGATGAAGTTCACTCTTCACTTACACCTGCTTTTTGCCCTCTATAAGTCTGCCATAGCATAACAATCGACAAGATTCAACAAATCACCACTCTACACACTCCTCATTCCCCACTGGCATATAATTCCAATACTACCATCTCAAAAGCTCCCCCAATAATGCAAATCATAGTCCACCCCACCAGGCCTCCACAAAGGCGAAGGCGTATAAACCGGGATCGGCGAAGCCGCTACACACAGTCAGTATCCCACATCAAGCCAACAAGGAACAAAGGGAGTCCGAAATGAAAAGCAAAGCAAAGCAAGTAAAAGAAATCAAAAAGAAAAACTCACTCCCAAACCCGGTACTCGGGGCCGCCCAAGCCGGCAACCCAGGCTTCACCCAGCCCGTCGGCGTCTCCGTCACCGTAATAGTCTTCGTATAAGCCGTGGGCACCTCATCCACCACCAACGGCTCAATCCCATCATTAACCCCGTAAGTCCCATCCCCGGACCCAAAAACATTACTGATCTTATTAACGACGGCGTCCCCGGATTCAGTCCACACCGAAACATCCTCCACCGTCACGTTCGTCGCAAAGGTCAGGTCATTCGCAATGAGATACAGCGGGGGCCGCTTGGCGCCGTCGGCGACAGAGCCGGTCACGTTCCGGAAGACGATGTTGCTGAGCGTGACGGCGCCGGTGTCCGGGGTGAAAGTGTTCTGCCAGTATTGGTTGATGTTGAGGCCGTAGAGACTGGCTTTTGAGCGGAAGTTTTCGAACGTGATGTTGCTGACGTAGCCGGAGCCGCCAGGGTAGGTTTTGATGAAGGCTATGTTGTTGCCTTGCAGGATGCTTATGTTTCTGGCGACCTGTTTTCGTGGTTAGTATTGTTTGTTGGGGAAT